ACTTTTTCTGTATATACACATCAATAATTCATTGATCGTGTTATGAATTTACTGACGTATGACTTTTTTGTTATTCATTAATGTAATAATAATTTACTGACACATCTTTTTCTGTATACACATTAATTCATTAATTCCCATAATCCTTAATAAAAATTTACTGATATGGATGTGTATACACATTAATCATTCATTGATGTGATAATAATTTACTGACACATGTCTTTTTCTGTATACATATTAATAATTTGTTTGATGTAATAATAATTTACTGACATGTCTTTTTTCTGTATACACATAATTCATTAATATAATAATAATAATTTTTACTGACGTGTGTCTTTTTCTGTATACACATTAATAATTCATTGATGTAATGTTATAATTTACTGACGTGTGTCTTTTTCTGTATACACATTAATAATTCATTGATGTGATAATAATTTACTGACGTGTGTCTTTTTCTGTTTACACATTAATCATTCATTGATGTGATAATAATTTACTGACATGTCTTTTTCTGTAATACACATTAATCATTCATTGATGTGATAATAATTTACTGACATGTGTCTTTTTCTGTATACACATTAATCATTCATTGATGTGATAATAATTTACTGACACATGTCTTTTTCTGTATACACATTAATCCCCATTGCATGTCTTAGATACAAAATCCAGAGGCTGTGCACTACAAACATCTATTATACTTCCTATTGTGTAACATATCTATTATTTGTATATATTGGTTCTTTTTTGTCGTCATTATCAATCATTTTTTTCTTTTCATGTTTTTGTCTTTTTTATTTTTCAGATGACTTCTGGGATGGGTTGGCTCCGGTTCTGTTGGTTGGCCATCCTTTTGGGCATCTGACATGGGATATGGTTGGTTTTGTGGGAATCGCCCCCTTTTCCCAGGACCCGCCATTAGCCCCAGAACCATGCGTGGGAATTTCTTCCCCGCACGTTTTTCCTGGGATAGCTTCCCGTACCGGCGGTGTCCCATGACTGGCCATTTTTGGGAGTCATTGCGCAGATGCAGACACGATGCTTCAACACCATTCCCACCATGGTGGGGGTTGGTGGAGCAGACTGGGGGTTTTTTTTCTTACGGATGCTGGGGTAGCCATATGGTGATGCCCTCTGGGGTCAATGGCTGCTTCAGCCGCCACTCCAGACCTGGGACCCGGGTGCACTAATGACTTCCCCAATTACCAAATCACCTGCACACAGCCCTATTTAAAGAGCTTCCATCTTACATTTGTTGGAGGGATGTTTTGGTGCCCCTTTGTTAGTCCTTGTTGTCTGGTGACTTACATCTGACCACTCTTACCCTCTTGGATGATGCACCCCGCCGGAACATGGTGTCCAGCCTCCCATCTTGGAAGTCATCCCCTCTCTTGCTCTGACATATGTTTTTGTAAGTAAATGAAGTGTTTTGGTTGTGTGATCAAATCTTTTTGATTATCTGTTTATTTTTTGGTAGACTCATTTCTGATTGCTTATATATATTTACTAGAAAGCCCTTTGTCTCTCATTCCCCTGGAGGAGGAGATCTAGAACGTGGAATGATCGAAACGCGTCGGAGTATTTTCTTTCTGTGTGCTTTCATATTCTTGTATTGAGTTCTCTTGCAAGAACAGTCACAGCAATATTCTTTTTAGAAACTATGTATCCATTATTACCATGGAAATGTCTATGTAATAAAGTGGATACAAATCTCTTTTCACAAAATGTCTCTTTCAATATATGTATGATCCTATTGCTGTATTAAAGACCCACTGGGGGTTCTTGGGGTATATGAATTCCCTCTACCTTGACTAAGGCCCCAGTTCCAGCTGAAGAAAAACAGCCCCAAAGCATGATGCTGCCACCACCATGCTTCACAGTGGGTATGGTGTTCTTCTGGTGGTGTGCAGTGTTATTTTTGCACCAAACATATCTTTTGCAATCATGGCCAAAAAGTCCAACCTTGGTTTCTTCAGACCAGAACACATTTCCCTGCATGCTTTCTGGGAGACTTCAGATGTGTTTTTGCAGAATGTAGCCGGGCTTGGGTGGTTTTCTTCCTAAAGGCTTCCGTCTTCCACTCTACCCCATAGCCCAGACATATGAAGAACACGGAGATTGTTGTCACATGGACCACACAGCCAGGACTTGCCACATATTCCTGCAGCTCCTTTCATGTTGCTGTAGGCCTCCTGGCCGCCTCCCACACCAGTTTTCTTCTCGTCTTTCATCCATTTTGGAGGGACGTCCAGTTCTTGGTGATGTCACTGTTGGTGATGTCACTATTGGTGATGTTACTGTTGGTGAGGTCACTGTTGGCAATGTCACTGTTGGCGATGACACTGTTGGTGATGTCACTGTTGGCGATGTCACTGTTGGCGATGTCACTGTTGGCGATGTCACTGTTGGTGATGTCACTGTTGGCGATGTCACTGTTGCGCCATATTCTCTCCACTTGATGATGACTGTCTTCACTGTGTTCCATGGTATATCTAATGCCTTAAATTCTTTTGTCCCCTTCTCCTGACTGATACATTTTAACAATGAGATCCCTCTGATGCTTTGGAAGCTCTCTGCGGACCATGGCTTTTGCTGTAAGATGCGACTAAGAAAAAATATCAGGAAAGACCAACTAGAACAGCTGAACTTTATTTGGGTTAATCAGAGGCACTTTAAATGATGGCGGGTGTGTACTGACTCCTATGTAACATGATTGCGAATGTGATTGCTTCATTCTGAACACAGCTACAGCCCTAGTTATAAGAGGGTGTGCACACTTATGCAACCACATTATTTCAGTACTTTATGTTTACTGCCCCCAGTTTGTTTTTCAATTGAGATGTACAGTTTATAGGTCCCATTAAAGGTGGAAAAGGTTCTGAAATTATTTATCTTTTTCAAATTTTTTTACATCACAGAAACCGGACATTGTAACAGAGGTGTGTAGACTTTTTATATCCCCTGTATATCTCCCACGGGGGTCTAAAGTGGAGGAGATTGCTCTCAAAGGGGATGATTTTCTATTTAGGGTCACCACGCCCACCTTACCAGCAGAGTCTGAAGCCAAAAATTAATTTGAAAATATTTAGACTTAAACTTGAGGGAACCCTCCTTGCAGAAGTGCATTTCCTGTACAAAAATGCCATCAGCCCGAGAGGACCTAAACTCTTTCAGTGCCAACTGGGGCGGACTGACAACTCATGGGGCCCCCTACTGACCCCGGGCCCTCGGGCAGTGCCCAAGTTTCCAAATAGTCAGTCCGCCCCTTGGTGCCAACCATCCTTTCCTGAGAGACTTTAGGCCCTCCACATTATATGACAAAACTTCAAAGACAGAGAAGCAGAAAATTTGCAGTAATCCAGTATAGACGTATTTACCAACAGAGGGGGAGATTTACTAAAACTGGAGGACTCAGAATTTGGTGCAGCTGTGCATGGCAGCCAATCAGCTTCTGACTTCAGCTTGTGCAATTAAGCTTTGGCAATAAAACCTGGAAGCCGATTGGTTTTCAATGAAGAGTTGCACCAGATTTTGCACTCTCCAGTTTTCAGTAAATAACCCCCAAAATCTGGTCATGAAAAAAATGGCAATGAAATGAAATTTGTACACAAGAAAATTGACAACAAAAAATATTGTAAAAGGGCCAGTGGAGACCCACCAAGAAAATAATAATTGTAGGAGCCGGAGCTAGAAACCAGTCTGAGGACACCATGGGCCCCACCACTGGTGGAAATAGGGGGCATGGAGACAACAGCACCAGGGCAAAAGCCATCATCTGCTTCCTATAAAATCAGCTGTGCACAAAACACAACATAAGCAAATCATATTAAACCCGATGGGGAGGCAACAGTATCAAATTAGGGTACGTAGGCAGAAAACTGCCCTGGGGAGAACCGCAAGGACATCCTAAAATCCTCATCACAGCCCTTCAGGTTGGAGGTCTGGGTAAAGAAATCATTAAGTGGCTGAAGGCTGTATTCCTAGCTCTAGGGTCCAAATCCTGCTTGGAGTAGTTGTTGGGTCGAGGTCTAAGAAGTGGGATGATTAAAGCTTCAGGGAGAGATGTCAGCACCAGATTTTTACGCAAAGCATCTCCTTCTTGAACATCCTTGAGGCTGTGCGCACCATGTTTAGTAGCGATCGGTCTAAAAGGAAAGCTCCAGCAATACGGTACCCGGTGCTTCTCAAGAGGTAATCAGTCATAAAGATCTGCATTTGGCAAGAGTGATGGGAGAAGGATCACCAAATATTTTGAATTTGTTTCAGGAATTCAGTAGCGGTGGCTTCCTTACTATCACAGTAGTAAAAATGCATGATGATGTCACAAGGGTGACGGGGGCCCAGAGACCTATGGGCACAATCTAGGCACCAATCTATATCTGGAAAGGATGGGGCCAAAGTTGTGAATTTGCCCAGTAATTAGGAGTGCAGATCAGAGTCACCATTTCTGGGACCCCTTGTATGTGTATGTTCTGGCCTTGATCCCTATTCTCCAGATCTTGTTGAAGTTAATTGCAAGACATTATGCTTTGCAGGATATTTTTGCTCCTCCAGAACATGTACATACTGTATAAGATCATCAGATTTAGTTTTCATAAATGATCTGTGCAGTCCACCAAAAAGGCTAGCACCCCTCTCAACTCCTGTGCCATTTTTCTCACTTCATTGGAGATACTGGGTGTAATACTTTGCAACAGTACCTTGAACCCGGTAATCCAGGTGGAGTTAGTTAAGTAAGGCCCAGTGGATGCAGCAGGGTAAGAGGCATGGAGGTCTGCGTTCTCACCAAGATCAATGAGACGATCAGAGGCATGGAGATTTGTGTCCTCACAAAGATCAATGAGATGATCAGAGACATGGAAGTCTGTATCATCACCAAGATCAATGAGAACTTCAGAGGCATGGAGATATGTGTCCTCACCAAGATCAGTGAGAAGATCAGAGGCATGGAGGTCTGTGTCCTCACCATGATCAATAAGATCAGAGACATGGAGATATGTGTCCTCACCAAATCAATGAGAAGATCAGAGGCATGGAGGTCTGTGTCCTCACCAAGATCAATGAGAGGATCAAAGGCATGGAGGTCTGTGTCCTCAACAAGATCATGAGAAGATCAGAGGCATGTCTGTGTCCTCACCAAGATCAATGAAGATCAGAGGCATGGAGATCCTCACCAAAATCAATGAGAAGATCAGGGCATGGAGGTCTGTGTCCTCACCAAGATCAATGAGAAGATCAGAGGCATGGAGGTCTGTGTCCTCACCAAGATCAATAAGAAGATCAGAGACATGGAGGTCTGTGTCCTCACCAAGATCAATGAGATCAGAGACATGGAGTCTGCATCACCAAGATCAATGAGAAGATCAGAGGCATGGAGATCTGCGTCCTCATCAAGTTTAATGAGAAGATCAGAGGCATGGAGATCTGTGTCCTCGCCAAGATCAATGAGAAGATCAGAGACATGGAGGTCTGTGTCCTCACCAAGATCAATGAGAAGATCGGAGGCATGGAGATCTGTGTCCTCACCAAGATAAATGAGAAGATCAGAGGCATGGAGATCTGCGTCCTCACCAAGATCAATGAGAGGATCAGAGACATGGAGGCCTGCGTCCTCACAAGATCAATGAGAAGATCGGAGGCATGGAGATCTGTGCCCTCACCAAGATCAATGAGAAGATCGGAGGCATGGAGGCCTGTGTCCTCACAAGATAAATGAGAAGATCAGAGGCATGGAGGTCTGTGTCCTCACCAAGATCAATGAGAAGATCAGAGGCATGGAGGTCTGTGTCCTCACCAAGATCAATGAGAAGATCAGAGGCATGGAGGTCTGTGTCCTCACCAAGATCAATGAGAAGATCAGAGGCATGGAGGCCTGTGTCCTCACAAGATCAATGAGAGGATCAGAGACATGGAGGCCTGTGTCCTCACAAGATCAATGAGAAGATCAGAGTCATGGAGATCTGTGTCCTCACCAAGATCAATGAGAAGATCAGAGGCATGGAGGTCTGTGTCATCACCAAGATCAATGAGAAGATCAGAGGCATGGAGGTCTGTGTCCTCACCAAGATCAATGAGAAGATCAGAGGCATGGAGGTCTGTGTCCTCACCAAGATCAATGAGAAGATCAGAGTCATGGAGGCACAAGATGAGAGATCAGAGGCATGGAGGTCTGTGTCCTCACCAAGATCAATGAGAAGATCAGAGGCATGGAGATCTGTGTCCTCACCAAGATCAATGAGAAGATCAGAGGCATGGAGATCTGCATCCTCACCAAGATCAAAGGCATAGAGATCTGAGATTAGATCAGAGGCATGGAGATATGTGTCCTCACCAAAATCAATGAGAAGATCAGAGGCATGGAGGTCTGTGTCCTCACCAAGATCAATGAGAAGATCAGAGGCATGGAGGTCTGTGTCCTCACCATGATCAATAAGAAGATCAGAGACATGGAGGTCTGTGTCCTCACCATGATCAATAAGAAGATCAGAGACATGGAGGTCTGTGTCCTCACAAGATCAATGAGATCAGAGACATGGAAGTCTGTGTCATCACCAAGATCACAGAGGCATGGAAGATCAAGTTTAATGAGAAGATCAGAGGCATGGAGATCTGTGTCCTCACCAAGATCAATGAGAAGATCAGAGACATGGAGGTCTGTGTCCTCACCAAGATCAATGAGAAGATCGGAGGCATGGAGATCTGTGTCCTCACCAAGATCAATGAAGAGATCAGAGGCATGGAGATCTGTGTCCTCACCAAGATCAATGAGAGGATCAGAGACATGGAGAAGATCAATGAGAAGATCAGAGGCATGGAGATCTGTGTCCTCACCAAGATCAATGAGAAGATCGGAGGCATGGAGGCCTGTGTCCTCACCAAGATGAGAAGATCAGAGGCATGGAGGTCTGTGTCCTCACCAAGATCATGAGAAGATCGGAGGCATGGAGGTCTGTGTCCTCACCAAGATCAATGAGAAGATCAGAGGCATGGAGGTCTGTGTCCTCACCAAGATCAATGAGAAGATCGAGGCATGGAGGCCTGTGTCCTCACCAAGATCAATGAGAAGATCTGGAGGCCTGTGTCCTCACCAAGATCAATGAGAAGATCAGAGGCATGGAGGCCTGTGTCCTCACCAAGATCAATGAGAAGATCAGAGGCATGGAGATCTGTGTCCTCACCAAGATCAATGAGAAGATCAGAGACATGGAGGTCTGTGTCATCACCAAGATCAATGAGAGACCAAGATCAATGAGAAGATCAGGCATGGAGGCCTGTGTCCTCACAAAGATCAATGAGAAGATCAGAGGCATGGAGGTCTGTCCTCACCAAGTTCAATGAGAAGATCAGAGGCATGGAGATCTGCGTCCTCACCAAGATCAATGAGAAGATCAGAGGCATGGAGATCTGCATCCTCACCAAGATCAAAGGCATGGAGATCTGCGTCCTCACCAAGATCAATGAGAAGATCAGAGGCATGGAGGCCTGTGTCCTCACAAGATCAATGAGAAGATCAGAGGCATGGAGGCTGCGTCCTCACCAAGGTCAATGAGAAGATCAGAGGGCTCATCTTCAGGAGACTGTGTGGGAGGGGGAGGAGAGGATGATGGCTGAAAGAGGAACTGATCCACCCCTGGGGTCTTGGAGAGACACTGTTCCTGGGGTGTGAGGCAAGCATCCTCTACTGGCCAGTTTTGCTCATGGGTGCCACTTGGGATGTGTAGGTCCCAGTTTGTGGTCCCGATCTAATGAAAGACGATTACCACTGTTCAGGAGGCCTAGGAAGCAAACGAGCAGCGGGTAACTAGGACTACGCATCTGTCATAAGCTGCTGCCAAGCATGTGCCTCCCCATGACTCCATTTTTATTCTTCTCCTGCTATCAATGGCCGACCGGTCCCACACTTCATCCATGTCTTTGGGGGCCTCTGATCTCCTTATGAACTGTTTCTTCCATGATGAAGATCAGCCATGGAGTATATCTGAGGTGTATATCAGGGTGTGCTTCTTCCCCACATGAGAGCTGGGATGTCCAGCAACATTCATCTAGAAGACATTTCCCGCACTCAAGGCACTAATACACCTCCAGGGTTGTGTGGAACCCCTGATGTACAGGAAGACAGGACTTCAGTGAGGAACATTTCCCTCACTCAGGACAGGAAAGTAGCTTCTCCCCCGTGTGCAATCTCTGATGTCTGGAAAGATGGGACTTCTGTGAAAAACATTTCCCACACTCAGAACAGGAATATGGCTTCTCCCCCGTGTGAGATCTTTGATGTGTGTAAAGACTGGACTTCACTGAAAAACATTTCCCACACTCAGGACAGGAATATGGCTTCTCCCCCATGTGAGATCTTTGATGTATGTAAAGATGAGAATTCACTGAAAAACATTTTCCCGCACTCATGACAGGCATATGGCTTCTCCCCCATGTGAAATCTTTGATGTTTGTAAAGACTGGACTTCACTGAAAAACATTTCCCGCACTCAGGACAAGAATACGGCTTCTCTCCCGTGTGAGATCTCTGATGTGTGTAAAGATGGGTCTTCTGTGAAAAACTTTTCCCGCACTCAGGACAAGGATACAAGAATACGCTTCTCCCCCGTGTGAGATCGTTGATGTTTATGAAGAATGGACTTCTCTGAAAAGCATTTTCCACACTCTCAGGACAGGAATACGGCTTCTCCCCCGTGTGAGATCTCTGATGTGTGTAAAGATGGGACTTCAATGAAAAACATTTCCCGCACTCAGGACAGGAATGTGACTTCTCCCCCGTGTGAGATATCTGATGTCTGTAAAGACTGGATTTCTGTGAAAAAACATTTCCCGCACTCAGGACAGGAATACGGCTTCTCTCCCGTGTGAGATCTTTTATGCCTATTAAGATAGGATTTATAACAGAAACATTTCCCGCACTCAGTACAGGAGAAGAATTCCCTGTTGGAAGGTCGGCCCGGTTTCTGAGGTTCTGAGTCTGAGGTTCCTCAGGATACGAGGAATCCGATGGTCCATCTACACTGGGTGGTGCCGGATGGACATTGGAGGGAGCCGGGGTTTTCTCCTGGACTATACTGTGTGATGTCCTCATCTTCTACTTTCCAGTCTGGAGACAAAGTGAGACAATCCTCGGAGGTTTTCCTCATCTCCCGGCCATGGACTAAAATACAAAGACAAAGAGGATTACTAGACAGGAGCTGATTGGTCCCCCAAACCAGGACTCCGCCCACATCAGGCAGCTTGGTCTCTGAGGAGCTTACAATTCCACCCTCAAGGGAACTAGGAAATGGCTCCTCTGATCTCCTACCAGGTCATTTCTTTATTCATGGACCTTAGTCAGAGAGTGAGGAAACAACCAGAACTGTCTTTTATAGGAGGGACAGTGATGAGGGGATTATAGGACGAGGGTCCCCACCCCCTCTATCACTCATCGCCATCTTCCCAACACAAGAAGTACTGCACTTCCTTATTTAGTCCATGATTTAGTCATGAAGAACAGCGGGGCTGAGCCCCACCAGAGGTCAGAGAGTGAGGATGGGGGGAGAACAACCAAGATGAAGACTGGACTGATCCTGAAGACCACCATCATTGGGGTATTGACTCCTCCCTCATTATCACTTTCTGTTTAAGGGTCCAAAGTTGGAGGATGTTATCACATTATTATCACCATGTAAAAGTCTGTGCTCCAATCACATCATCCGATATAAAATGTCCAGCTGGGAGGAAATGGGGGTAACAAAAGAGAATCCATATTATGTGTGTGGGATATACAAGCGTGGGGGGCAATGGGGCAGATCACGCCGGGACACAGGAACTAGTCCCGGCGAGGCTGACAGGACGCCGCGCATATGCGCAGTAGAAAACCGCGGGCGCGCCTCAGGCGTCCAATGACAACGGGGGCGCGTCCTAGCCAGTAATGACAGTGCAGGGCGCACTATTTAAAGATGCCCTGCACTGTCACAAATTGCTGCAAGGTCTATATGTGATCCTGAATACCTGCTCCTGCTGTGACCCTGTTTTTTGACCCTGACTACGCTGCCTGCCCCTGAGATTGACCCGGTATATGACTGCAGGGGTCAGGTTATGTAATGTACCCGACATTCCTACGGATTGTGCAGGGGTCAGGAGTATGTAATGTACAACCGATTCGGTACCCCCTTACCCCACGGGGCCACTAGTGCTGGGGTCAGGCTGGCTCTATGTACCTACATACATCCCCGGAGTATATAGTGCAGGGGTCAGGAGTATGTAATGTACCTGGCAGACTGTTTCAAGTCCAGGGGTCAGGGTGAAAGTAATGTACAGACATCTGGGTAGGTCTACCAGCTGGCAGACGGAGGGCTCCGCCTGGCGGATCCTAACAATGTGTATATATAGAAGTGGGGGGGGGAGAGCAGAAGTCAGGAGTATGTAATGTACAACAGAGTATATAGTGCAGGGGTCAGGAGTATGTAATGTATAACATAGAGTATATAGTGCAGGGGTCAGGAGTATGTAATGTACAACATAGAGTATATAGTGCAGGGGTCAGGAGTATGTAATGTACAACATAGAGTATATAGTGCAGGGGTCAGGAGTATGTAATGTACAACATAGAGTATATAGTGCAGGGGTCAGGAGGATGTAATGTACAACATGGAGTATATAGTGCAGGGGTCAGGAGGATGTAATGTACAACATGGAGTATATAGTGCAGGGGTCAGGACTATGTAATGTACAACATAGAGTATATAGTGCAGGGGTCAGGAGTATGTAATGTACAACATAGAGTATATAGTGCAGGGGTCAGGAGTATGTAATGTACAACATAGAGTATATAGTGCAGGGGTCAGGAGTATGTAATGTACAACATAGAGTATATAGTGCAGGGGTCAGGAGTATGTAATGTACAACATAGAGTATATAGTGCAGGGGTCAGGAGTATGTAATGTACAACATAGAGTATATAGTGCAGGGGTCAGGAGTATGTAATGTACAACATAGAGTATATAGTGCAGGGGTCAGGAGTATGTAATGTACAACATAGAGTATATAGTGCAGGGGTCAGGAGTATGTAATGTACAACATAGAGTATATAGTGCAGGGGTCAGGAGTATGTAATGTACAACAGAGTATATAGTGCAGGGGTCAGGAGTATGTAATGTACAACATAGAGTATATATAGTGCAGGGGTCAGGAGTATGTAATGTACAACATAGAGTATATAGTGCAGGGGTCAGGAGTATGTAATGTACAACATAGAGTATATAGTGCAGGGGTCAGGAGTATGTAATGTACAACATGGAGTATATAGTGCAGGGGTCAGGAGTGTGTAATGTACAACATAGAGTATATAGTGCAGGGGTCAGGAGTATGTAATGTACAACATAGAGTATATAGTGCAGGGGTCAGGAGTATGTAATGTACAACATAGAGTATATAGTGCAGGGGTCAGGAGTATGGAATGTACAACAGAGTATATAGTGCAGGGGTCAGGAGTATGTAATGTACAACATAGAGTATATAGTGCAGGGGTCAGGAGTATGTAATGTACAACATAGAGTATATAGTGCAGTGGTCAGGAGTATGTAATGTACAACAGAGTATATAGTGCAGGGGTCAGGAGTATGTAATGTACAACATAGAGTATATAGTGCAGGGGTCAGGGGTAATGTACAACATAGAGTATATAGTGCAGGGGTCAGGAGTATGTAATGTACAACATAGAGTATATAGTGCAGGGGTCAGGAGTATGTAATGTACAATATGGAGTATATAGTGCAGGGGTCAGGAGTATGTAATGTACAACATAGACTATATAGTGCAGGGGTCAGGAGTATGTAATGTACAACATAGAGTATATAGTGCAGGGGTCAGGAGGATGTAATGTACAACATAGAGTATATAGTGCAGGGGTCAGGAGTATGTAATGTATAACAGAGTATATAGTGCAGGGGTCAGGAGTATGTAATGTACAACATGGAGTATATAGTGCAGGGGTCAGGAGTATGTAATGTACAACATAAATTATATACAGTGTAAGGGTCAGGAGTCATAATATTGGTATTCAGTATTCAGTGGAAGCTTAAATGTTTACTGTAGACAAGTTGCAGAGATCCCACACCGCTGCCTCCCATCTCCTGAGACTGCACTCAGTGACTTGGGTCTGAGACACTACAGACATATCCCTCCACCCGGCACAGCCAGCAGACCACAGAGCAAGGAACCCTGGGAGAAATGTTCTGTCAGAGATCTTACTAGACCCGGGACATGGGGAGGGAGACCCAAATCACATGCTCCTGTGCTTAGGTAATGCCTATAGTGAAATGAACATTTTGCTGCCAGCTGAACCCCAGAACCTCCATAAATCCAGTCTAGAGACATAAATTGTGTCTGCAGCACAGAGAAGGAAGATTATCCGAGAGAAATCCAGAATACAGGACGGGGAACACAGCTCAGGAAAGTGACCAGGGGATTACAGGCTGATATCACCCAGTCCCCGCCCTACTCTGGACCAATCAGTGAGCAGTATGGGTGGAGGAATGGATTTAGTGTTCATGACCCACCTGTGCTGATCTCTGTAGGAGTGTCCTCCTCTATAAAATGTCCCCGTTATTCCATCCTCCTCCATAGACTGCTGATCATCCCTCACATACGCCTCTTCTTCTTCTGCTTTCACCTCAAATTCTATATCGATTGGATCTCCACTCTAAATCAAGGAAATGAGAGAAAATATCATCTGTAAATTATGTTTTTAGGTCACATAAAATATCCACAGATCATCTCCACAAGTCCATGTTCTAGATGCTCCATCCCACCAACCTTGTAATAGTGAGGGATGGTGTGACCTTCCTGTGGAATCCCGGGAATACAGAGGACGGGGACATCTCTCTGGTGGGTTCCTGTAGGTGGATGACATATCCTTGTGTCCTTCTGAAAAGATCCTCCATCACTGTCCATACTCCTAGAATCCTCCTCTTTTACTCCTCTTCTTAACATCAATATCCTCATCCCCCTTCCACTCTGAAAGATATAATCTTCTTGTAACAAACATGCTTGTATAAATCACACAAAAAGGAGTTATTACTCAAACTGATAATAAAAGTTCAATAAAATGACAATCTATGTGACTATAAGGTGCCAGGTGACTGGTTATAATTTGTGGTGGTGCTCCGAGAAATGCAGAATTACGCACTACCAGATGCCTAATAGTTATACGCATCAGTCATGGAAATTTTGTATTGTTGGTCGAACTTAAAATGATATATTCGTGTGATTCATATGTCTCTCGGTGGCTTATGGTGTGCTCTGAAGGCTGCAATTGGGCCATCCATGTACAATGTATGATTACAGTACTCAGCTTGGTAATGGATGAGATGGCAGATCTGCGCTTATAGACCGGCGTGCATACCACCTGCATTCCATGCGAATGCTGCTGTCAGTAGACCGTGGGCCTGTATCCACATATCAGCAGCATGGTACCACGTGGGCTTCATAACGCAATGCGCAAGCGGTGTGAACTCTCCTGTAGGCTTATGCATATCTTACAACCCATTACTAATCTGAACTGTATCTGGGATGGATGTGTTTTAATAAAGATCGTATCGGGCCCATCCAGGTACAGACTGATATTTTTAGGGAGTGCTTGTGCAGAGAATTTTACATACCAATAGAAGCTAGTAGGACAGGAAATATGACCTCAGATGGCTCATAGGGGGGAAGGGGAGGAAGTCTGCTGACCTCAGAAGACTCATGGGGGAGGACCAGTGATAGATAATAGCAAAGGCTATGCTCCAATTGGAATGTATGTATAAATCCCCATTGCATTGTTCGGTCATTGACTTTATTCATGTGGGGGGGCATGTGTGTATTCTTAATAAAACAGAGAGCTGAGCCTAAAGCCGGCCTTTAATTGCAACCAGCCTTAGAGTGGTGTGATCATTCTAGGGTAACGGAGCTCCAATCACCCACAAATTCAACAGAACCAAAGTATTTGGATGGGCAGGAATCGTGTAGTTTAGCTGCAGGTCTGGTAAGCGAGATTCGCACAGCTTTATGGGGGATTTCTGCGCATCCAACTGCGAGTACTCACGGATGGTAATAGTTAAAGCG